CCCCTCGCTCCTCTGGCCGGAAGGAGGCCGCTCTGGGGCCGGGAGGGGGCAGCGGGCCACAGCGAGTCTGCCGAGGGCTGATGGGACCCACAGCCGCGCCGAGCTTTTTTTTTTTTTTACCTTCAACAACCCAGAACGCTGGCGCTATTTTACAGATGAGGAAAGTGAGGCCCAGAGAGTGAGGCAATTGCCCAAGGGGACACAGGCAATGACAGATCTGGGGCAAAACCCATGTGTCCTGACTCCAGGGCCTCTCCCAGCCATTCCTGGTATGTACGGGGGCGGCCAGTGCAGGCCTGCGGGGGGGCACCTGGGGGGCGGGTGTGTGTGTGATGGGGGCAGCCCCTGCTCCTCCTCAGCCCAGCATTTCCTCTGGGGGCCAAAGGAGGGGCTGCTGGCACCTTGAGCCTGTTGGTTGTGATTCATCTCCCCACCGTCCCCCCTCCGGCCTGGGCCCTGTTCTGCAAGTGTCTAGGAAAGGGACAGCCCCCCCCCTCCCCCCCACTGGAGCCTCTGGGGCTGCTGGCTGGAGGCAGCGAGAGTGAGTGAGGAGCAGGGGCAGCCACGCAGCAGGGGCCGTTTCCTGCCTGGTTTGACCCTGGCTGTCCCTGTGGAGGCCCCAGCAAACAGAGCAAGGTCATCCAGGGCAGAATTCCAGCCCGAGGCCCGAGCCGTGACTGCAGTTTTCCCGATAAGGCTCAAGAAGGGACATAGAGTGTCCTCCCCACACCCACACCCTGTCAGCACCTCCACTCTGGTGAAGCGTGGGCTGCAGACAGCCTGCCTGGAGAAGAGACAGAGATAGACGGGGACAGATAAGGAGACAGACAGCCAGGGAGAGCGAGGGCAAGGCACCCAGAGGGAGAAGATGGGGGGCCTCTGGGGCCGCCGCCCAGGCAGGGGGTCTGGAGCCTGGAGGTCAGCAGGGGTCCCGGGACTGTGCTTGCTAGGGCTACGCTTGGGTGCGGATATTGGGGAAAGGCCGACCTGGGAGCTTGGGTGAGGTGATGGAGGAGTCACTGTGGGGCGTGGCCCCCCAGTCTCCAGGAGGCCAGGCCAGAGGGGTGGAGAGGCGGGGCCCTGTACCTGTGGTGGAGGGGCAGTAGGGGGTCCCAGGGGCGAATGCAGCAGGGCCCAGGCCGCGAAGTCCCTCCTGCTTTCTGGGCTCCCGGCTGGGACGTTTCCCTGCACCCTGTCATAGAAAGTTTGCACCCAACACTGACTGTTTGGCTTGGCAGGGCCCTAAAGTCACAGCTGGCCTGTGGGCGCCCAGTCACTGTATAGAGCTGAGTCAGTCACAACCGCTTCCCCCACCCCCTGGGGGGCAGGAGGCTCTGCTGGTGCCGGCACACACAGGCGCATCCGCACAGGTATGCACAGAGCGCGTGCTGCTGAGTCATGGCTGCCTCCCCGGGGCACGTGCCTG